TAAATGATATCAATTCCACTTTACAATCATTATTAAGTGGAAGTGTCACTTAAATAAATATATAATCCACCAAATATGACCAGGTTTTCAAGCTATCTTTTAAAATACTTGCTTTAAAGTCTCTAAATCATAGCTTTTTAGACATGTTGTTTAAACCTGTTTCACCAGTGTTTTTTCAAGCCTTTTCGACCGCAAATTTGTTTTGATTTATCATTAGGAAAATATGAGTTAAAAAGGCAGAACTTGTACATAGAAAACAACCCACATTTCATCCTGAGTCAATAAGGACAAACCCTTTACTGCTTGGGAAGAAGTGAACCTAATCACCCCAAACTGTTGAATGAAAACCACATGAGCTTTCTGTGTATTTGACGTCTTCCTCCGAGAGTAAAGCAGAGTCGATTTGTCTCCAGTTAGAGAAATCATTGACGCAGCGGGACATGATGGGACTTGTTCTTTTTGATCCAAGCCTGGTCTAGCAGGGAGTTTCTGTTGATACCTATCAGGGTGGGGAATTACCACAAACCCCTTTCAAAGCTCGGGGAACATTGGCTGTGAAGACTTTAAAAAAGTGAATCCATTGGGCATTTTGTCAGGAAACAAAGAGAGATGAATCATTATGAAGTTCATATTCTGTATCAGCTGTTCGTTCTGTCCCTTGATACTGATGTGATTAAAAGCTGGAGTCATTCTTAAAAAAACGTCCTGTCTTTCTGAACTGGAGACAATGTTGGAAAAAGACTGACTGAGAAACTTTCCATCGGTGAAGTTCGATGAAACAAACGGGACAAAACCTGCATCCAAATGAAAACCAGACATTCCTAAACAGTCACTTTGAAAAGAGAACAGATATGCAACAAGCTGCACTTAATCACTTCCACCATTATATTTTTAGTACAATAATCTCTCTTTTATATGTTGATTTATATAGCTGAACCCTTAAGGTTGTTTCCCATTTGTAACGGTACAACTTTTGTCCATATTTGGCTTTTTTATACGGCATATGGTATAAATGAACACCTGATGTATCATCATGATTGTATTTTGTTCCTCTCTTGTTCCGTGTCAGGAAAGGGAAAACCCCTAAACAGTACAATAGGGCCTCTCTAAGGTTAATCCAATAAATATTAGGGCGGTGGTGGCGAAGTCCATACATGAGAGTAGCACAGACGTCACTTCCGGGTGAAAATTATGGCCCCGCCCACTTTTGGGGGGAAACAACGCTGTCATTGGAATGGCGGTCAATTCAAATTCTGAAGTTTTTGCCAATCCGATCAGAAAAGTAAGAAAACCGTGGATTTGTGGATCTTCAAAGAGCCCGGTTACGATGGCCAGAAAGGCAAACAATTACATTCAATCATTTGAAATCGACGATCGGTCTCGATATGTGGTTAAATTAAAATCAGTAGGTGAGGCTGTAATTTCGCCAGCTGTTACTCTCATGAGCGAGGCGGAAAATAATAGTTTTATCATGCCAACAAGCTGCCGTGTCGTTTATTGCACCTCAAACATTAAAACAAATCCAGAGTTACGCGTTTCTGTACTTCCTCTAAGAAGAAAGGACAGTAAGAGATGAGCTCTGTGGCTTCAGGCTCGATCGCCATTCAAATGACAGCGCTGTTTCCCCTAAAAGAGGGCGGGGCCTTAAAGTGACGTTGACGTGTCACCTCATCTATGAAAATCGATAGCCTACTGCTATATTTAACCATATATCGAGCCCGATCGTTTGCCTGACTGGCCATCGTAATCGGGTTCTTTGAAGATCCAGAAATCCACGGTTTTCTTAAATTTCTGACCGCCATTCAAATGACAGCTTTGGTTTCCCCCAAAAGTGGGCGGAGCCGTACTTTTTGACCGGAAGTGACGCATTTGTTACTCTCATGTATCGAGACTTGGCTTGGCAACTGAAAGGTCACCAGTTCAATTCCCGGAAAGACCAAGTGCTACCGAGGTGTCCGTTCCCTACACTGCTCCCCGGGCACCGTACATAATGGCAGCCCACTGCTCCTAACACTAGGATGGGTCAAATGCAGAGAAACCGTTTCGTTACATAGTGCCTGTACTACGTAATGACAATAAGTTGAATCTTCTTCAATTAAGTATGTTCATTGTTGTCTGGGGTCAAAACTGTGCAGACATTCAGAACGTCTGCCAATACAGCTGTGTGGCGCCTGCGTCATTCAGTTTTGTAAATATAACATTTTCTTCGCTAAGAGCTTAAACAGCAATCCAAATACCATCCGTCACTATCAAACAAGTGTCGGAGAACAAAACAAAGCCAGTGTTTATCTTTAGAAGAATGTTATCTTCCGGGAAGGTAGATAAAAGTAACATCAAGTCCCTGGTGTGAAAAATAAACGTTGGGAATCAGTAACAACAACCCCCTGCTTGGTCACTATGTCCTCATTAAAAACTGCAGAGTGCTGTTCACGAGGCTCCCATAACACCACTTTTAAGATAGCAAGTGGACCAACAAGCTCACCGTTTGCCGGATTAAATGTGAGGTTTGAAATTGTTGGCTGAGGAAATTGCTGGCCTTGGTATTGGTGCAGAGTCAGGGAAATGTGGGCGTAGTAGTGTGGGTGATTTTGGTTTTTAATCACAGCTAAAAGCGGGTCTGGGATAGTAGAGTTTGTCTGGGTGGTCAGCGTAAACAGCACAAGAGAGTAACACCACAGTTTGTGAGCTAGCAAAATAGGAAAGGAAATTCCTCCAAGTAGAAAAACAGCAAGAAAAATGAGGCTGACTATTGCCCTGTGGAGAGGAAACTCGCTATGGAATTGCTGAATGTGGATATACAGGTGAACAGTCACTGCATTTCATTAACAGTTACAACCAAGTCTCTTGGAAATGTCCTCATGCATTACTTTGTCTTAATACATGTCTTATAGGAGAGGCAGTTCTGCATGAGTGACTGTAACAACATGAGTAAACACATTGGTATGAGACAAGTGTGTGCAGTTTTCCACACAAATCCCTGACCATGGAGGGAGTGATGTAACAAATAGTCCTCTGGTTGTCTGTCAGTGTCCCCACAGAAAAACAAAAGATGATCAAGGAGGTGAAACTGAATCACACGTTGACACTTGAGATGCTTTTAAGGCTGCTGCAGGAGTGAAATACACCTGGATACATTGAGTCTCAACCACTTCTGGTGGTGTTTTGATCATTGTGTGCACTTGAATGTGAATTGGGTGTCTGTAAGCCTAATTTGCATGCAGTAAAGCAGAAGTAGACCTTTTATCAGATGGCACAACTCATATTTTTTTACACAATGAACCGGCAAAATGTCTCAAAACTAGCCTCATGTTGCCTTCACTAACGTTAACAAAGTGGAAGTGGAACTTATAAGTAGTGGTGTTGCAAGAATACAAGATATTTAAGTGAAGCACACAAGTCTTACCTCCTCGTCCACCATTCCTGGAGGACCCTCGGCTCTGTGTGTCCTCCCAGCCTTCCCAGTATCTCCCCACACATCCTCCCATGGTTGTAGGGCTTCAGACGATTTCCACTAGCTGAGAAGGGGGCCCATCGCGGAGGAAGACGATAAACTAGGTCCGATTTGGAGCACGGGTTGCAGGTCCAATGTTGCAAACCTATGGGTCATCCGTAGCGGCAAACACAGGGAAGCTTTGGTGCCTGATAGTCTGAGAAATACCTGCAAAAATGTTGCTTACATGCGTTTTCTCTTATGTGCTATCTGTGTGTGACACGACCCCACAGGATTTAAAACGAGTCCCTACACTACAAGTTTGAAAAACCGCAAGTCGACAGCTACAGATACCAAACTATTCTTTTTTCAATGTTAGAATACAACGAGCAGCATGTCAGTTAATGAACTTGCCTGCAAACTAAATGCTGAAGTCCACCTTCTTCAAGCTAACAAGCCAACAGGGCCAACCGTGGATGTGGAAAGAAAACAGGATACTCCGTTCACTCCTATGAGAGTTGCTCAGTGGCGCATGAATCTCAAAATACAGCGACTGTAGATTCAGAAAGAACCAGGATCATCCGGGGCCTCGTTCCTACGGAGCATGCGCACTTGAGTGTTCCCTTAAGACCAACCTCCAAACTCAGTCCACTGAATGGAGAGGAGAAAATAACTCTGAATTCAGCTTTTTATAACTGTTTAGACCCTAATTATTTAAATACGGGCCATGAAAGTGTTCGAGTTGGGTAGTTTAATAAGCTAAAAAGAATGTGTACGCTGATTTACAGACGTCTCTTTCCCCAATGTCAATGGAAAAAAGTATATTTCGGCCAAAACGACGTCACGGAAGCTGTAGTACCACCGTTTGAACACTACGCTCATTCATAAAAATCTGCTTCAACGATCGGCGCACTTCCTGGCTAGCTAGCTACTACAACATCAGTAAACACACACTTCCGCACACTCGTGACCATTTTCCAGTACGTTTTAGTTTCCTCCAAAGGTAGCGGATAGTTACAGTTTCCAGCAGACTTCGGTAGATCGCTTCAGTTATTTGCGGTTGCCTCCAGATTTAGTTTTTCCTCGTTAAATCCCACAGACTTCCCTCTCTGCTGGACTTTTCCACGCATGCGCAGAAACACGCAGGCAGGTGTTGGGTTCTCTTACATCAGGAACAAAAGCAATCAGGTTCAGAAACAATTGTATTGCCGAGTAAGTTTAGAGATACGAGGAATTTGCCTTGGTATATATGGTGCATACATAAACACAGTTACAGGCATTATGTTTTATGTTTGAATACATTGTTTTTAATGATACTGGTCATTTTATTTTAAGTTGAAACAGCAATATTGATTTAGTCTTTACAGTGTTTTTGAATTCGGACAGCACTTGAAGGCATCACCAACAAATTATTCAACATTAAGATTTTTTTATTTTGTATTTCATTTTTACCAACATATAAGTAACCAACATAGCAAATATGTCACAAAACATAGCTAGTTAATGTTTCGTTTTAACTAATAAAAGTTAAATGTGTCATTTTTCACCCCTAACTTTCCGCGCATGCGCAGTCTCAATTCAGTAACAGGGGCACGATGGCTGCGGACAGTGCGCTGCTGCTGTCTCTGGTGGAGGAGTATGTCTCTGGACTGCAGGACAGCAAAGCCAAAGATACAGCAACAGGTAAATAAGACGTAATCCTAATTTCCTCCACATGTTTCCAGAACACCAGGTTTTTAAAAAACAAGCCTTTAAACCTGGCTGAGCTTCAGGGATGCGCAACACGGCATGCTGGGAAACGAGCTAACTTAGCACCACAACATCCTGTGTGCTCTTCAACCTCAAGTCACACAAAACAGACATTTTGTAACTAGTTTATTCATTTTATCAAGTTATTAGTACACCCTGAATGTACCCCTCGTGTTAAATTGTGCTGTCATTGATTAATAATGTGAATTTAGATGCTAGTTAAGTGTGTTATTACCGCTTGCTAGCTGCTGTGTTTGTGTTCATTGAAAAGCATCCTGTCAATGAACTCTGCACCTTTGAACCTGCCCATACTGCTAGTTAATCTGTAGTTAACCACTAGAGATAGATTAATTATGCTTATGTGTTTGTTGTTGCACAATTCACTAAACTTGGCTTTCTGTGCAGCTGTCAAAAATGGAGAGTTTACAGTTCTGCAGCTGGTGGAGGCACTGGGGTAAGCTATCAACATTTGTATTATTACAGCAATAACATTAACACAATAAAAGCATTATCATTGTATGATTTAAAAAATATCCTCTATCTGTTGGTTTAGTATGAGTATGTCAAAGAAATACCACTGCTCTTACCCATTTATTGTAGATATGCTTGACAATTATTCTTTAAATCCTTGTAAACTTCTTTTTACATTGTTTAAAAAAAATGTTTTATACAATTTCTCCTTTTCAGTATCAGCTCATATTTCTAGTTTTACAATTTCTCTTCCCCTGTTTTTGTATGCACCATTATACACCAAAGCAAATTCCTCGTGTGTAAAAACCAACTATAATTTAGCATATATTGCCCAGCCAAACGCATATGGAATATAATACATGTCATTTATATACCACTTTTCCTGGTGCTCAAAACGCTTAATATATAATATATGTCATTATTTAACTTTAACATATTTCAGATTTCAATTCATTAAAAAGCAACATTTAAACTCAAGAGTTTCTCGGCTCTCATATTAATCGTTTTCTTATAATTAACATTTTTCCTTTCCTGTTGTAGACTGAGTCTGACCAGCTCTCAGCCTCACACTCGAGCCAGAGGAGTCCAGCTTCTCTCCGAAGTTTTACACGAGTGCTATGGAGGTCTTACAGAGAAAGAAGGTGACTCAATTTCTAGATATCATAAGAAATACTCATTGTACCCCGGCTCAGAACCAAACACGCCGAAGCTGCTTTTACTTCCCGAAAACCTGAGGTCTTCATCAACGCTGAGTTCTTTTAACTTGTTTTAGCTCCTACTGTATTTACAATGTTACAAACTATTCTGTATCTCTTTTATGCATGGTTTTTATAAATCTGTTATTCCATTGTGTTTATTTATTGTGTTCCTTTCTGTTGTCTTCCTATTAAGTGTTAATGTCTGAAAATGTGCGATATAAATACACATGGTATATAGGTGCAAAAACCATCGCCTTATTGCTTGAGTTATAAAATGTTGACCGATTGTCATTTGATTGCTTGTAGTGTTGCAGGAGCACATGCACCATATTCATGTGAAGGGTTATTATGTATTATTAAATAATTGTTATAATATATATGTTTATCTTCCTGTGTCTGTTCTCCACAGTGGAAGTGCTCCTTGTCTTCTATGAAAACCGTTTGAAGGACCATCACGTCATCACTCCTCCGGTTTTACAGGGGCTCAGAGCGCTGGTGAGTGTCCGCCTCCTGGAGACTTTCAGTGACAGAAAGATCTTGATTTTGCAAATTAGTTTTTTGCTTTGCAGGTTTTATTATCAGAATCAGAATCAGAACACCTTCATTAGTCCCACAGAGGCGACATGTACGCAGTTACAGCAGGAAAAAGAGCCACAGACAGCTTATTGTTACCTATGTTACATGCATTAAAAAGTACTAAGTTATGATATAATACAAAATATAATAAAAAATAAAAAGTTACATAATTTTCAAAATACACATCCTGTAACAGTTCTTAGGATTTAGCAGCCAGGTATATATTACACAGTTATTAACGGCATCTATATATATTGCACACATAGCACATATGCACATAGTTGGTTGGTATTTAACAGCAAGGGGTATAAGATAACTTAATTAAGAAGCATGCATACAAATATTCAAGATACAAGTAGATATTACACAATTTACAATTACAAAACACACATCCAGTACCAGAGTTTTGAGATATAGCAGCCAGGTGGAAGTATACAGTATTTTGCAAAGTTATTCACGGTGTATATATATATATATATATATATATATATATATTGCACATCATTTTGAGAAGCTCTGACTCTTGTGCACAATGTGTTTGTTTCCGCCTTTTTTCCAGACAAAATGTACGGTGCTGCCTCCTGGCTCAGCAGTGTCCATGCTGAGGTCTTTGTTCCAGGATGTTCACGTTCAGGTGAGACTTATATTCATATTTGAACATACAGCCAAAGTCATCAGGATCCTGAGCATATATGCAAACACAAACTCTTGTAAAATATCCACAATTGGAGTGCTTCAAGATAATTGTTTCCTCTACATCTGCAAAGCCCTTCCTCTTTTTCAAAGTATGCTTTTGTTGGTAAACTTGACTCATCTAAAGTTCTTGATTCCAAGGCATTGTGGGTAAAAACACTCATAGATTCTGTTTATTTATCCCTTAGTCTTTAATGCTGACGGAGAGAGCCTACGTCTACAACATGCTCATCAACCTCATGGCGATCAGAGAAGCAGGTACGTCTGATTCCTCAGTTAGTTAGTTACCAACATTTCCCCCATAATTACTGAGAGATCTGCTGAACAACACAAAGCTTCTCTGTTATATGGCGCATTTCCACTGCAGGACCTAGCCCGGCTTATGGTTAGGCCTTGTTAGGCCAGGCTCACTTTATGCTGCTTTTCCATTACAGTTTAGTAGCTGGGGCAGTAACTATAGTAACGCAGTGTAGGCGGAGCCGTGACGTCATCTTCAATGCGAAACACAAAACCAACACAGCCGTTAGCTGTTAGCCCTCAGAGCTCACAGCTCCTCATATCTGTTCAGAAACTAGACAAAAGTTAAACAAGTACAAACCACAGACTGTCTGTGTCATGGAGAATACAGTCGCTGGTTTATTTATGTCTGTATAGGCCGTTGTTGTGAGTGTGGACGGTCGGAGCATATATAACGTTAGCTTAGCCAAGCTACATTTAGAAAACACGCATTTTAAAAAGGTTTTTCGCCTGCCGTCTGTCTGCAGACTTGTCAAAGCATTAATTCATGGTTTTTACTAACCGGTATCAGTATGTTGTTACTTCGGCATCATTTTGAAACGTGTATTACAATTAAATCACGGTCAAATATGTTCATTTTGTTGTAGTTCTCTCTGACCAATCAGCAGTCAAGAGTGTTTACGTCACTAGTTTAGCATATTCAGCCCGGTTGTAAGAACCTCGATTTTGGAGGGCCAGAAAAAGTAGCCGCTAGCCGGAATGACGTCACGGCAGTTGTATGCAGCGTCGCTCCGCCTGCCAAAAAGCTGATCGCCCCGCCTACACTGCGTTACTATAGTAACTACCCCAGTTCCTAAACTGTAATGGAAGCGCAGCATTAAAGTGAGCCGGGCCTAATAAGGCCTAACCAAACCGAGCGAGGCCGAGCGAGGCCTGCGTGGAAATGCGCCAATAGCTGTAGGTTATTTGCAAACACGAGAGACAGTCAGAAATTGTTATTGCTCACCTAAAGGTTCTTAAACTATTCCCAGACCTATAATTAAGGAGAGAGTTATCACACCTTCCTCTGCTTTGTTTAGCAGTTGAATACTTTGCTTAGACTAACTGTATAGGAAGCAAATAGATGCAACACAATGAAGTGTGTGTGTCTGTCTGCCAGTACTTAGCACACAGCGGGACAGTGTGTCCTGTCCTCCAGCAGTTTCTCCTTGTTATATCGTAGTAGAATAAACATATTAGATATTCTTTATAAACGTTCAAATTAACATTTTTGTCATTTGGATTATCTAAATTGTAATTTCAATATCTTATTATTATCCAAGCCTTAAGACCAATGTGACATTTTTGATAATGGGATATATAAATAAAATCTAATGGATTTTAAACTCAGATTAAGAAATGTTCAGCACAATGTCAGTTTACAAACGACATCCTAACACAACTTCCTCAGAATTTCAGGAAGAGGTTTGTGGTGTCATTTTGGCCGTCTGCCTTTTGTCAAAACATCATATGGTGGAACAATATTTCTATCAGCAGAACTTAAAGAAATCTGTGTTCTCCTGTGTGCCCTCTCCTCAGAACTGAAGGGCTTGGGACCAGACTTTGTGTTTGGTTTTGTCCAATCAATGGACGGAGAGAGGGATCCTCGTAACCTGCTGTTAGCGTTCCAGATCGCCAAAGGCATCGTCCTGCGAGGTTATGATCTAGGTAAGAGTGCTTCTTTCTCTGTATCTCTGTCTGTCTCTGGCCTTTCCTTCAACTGTGTTACGATCTACTATCACCAGGCTCCCTACGATACGATGCTATCGCGATACTTAAGCCACGATACGATAGTATTGCGATTCTACGATATGCTAAGTATTGCGATATTGAAGTTAAGTTGTTTAATGGTATGCTAAAGTAAAGCTAATATGGATGTAGCTTAAATGTATTTGTTGTTTTGTGTCTTTTTATAGCTTTACGTTGGATTTTGGAGTTGTCAATGCATTAAAAATCATCAGTCAAGTGTACGACCATCTTTCGGAGGGATATGCTACAGTTTTTATAATAAAATATCAATACTTGGTGTCCGTCTATCGATACAATATCGCCACGCAAAGTATCGCGATACTATGCTGTATGGATTATTTCCCCCAGCCCTACTAATTAGCCTGATTTCCTGATGTCTGCTGTCTCAGGTAAATTCACAGAGGAGCTGTTCGAGGTGACGTCCTGCTACTTCCCCATCGACTTCAGCCCCGTAAGTCCCTGTTTTGTTTACTCGGCTGCTTTAGTGTGACGACAGCAGACAGAAATGTCATCAGCGACTTCCTGTGAGCTCAGGCTAGCTGTGAAAAACATCAATAACACACAGCGTCTGTCTCCTCATCGCCTCACACACATTTCCCGTCACTGATGATCGCAGCTGTGTGTGTTTGTTGACTCTGGGGAAAACCTGCATGATGTCACTCTGCTGTTTATGTGATAATGATAATAATGAAACAAGCTGTAGAAATACATGGTAGATCTTTCACAACTACGCTCAGGTCTTCTGGCTTTTGGATTTGGAAAAGTCTCTGAAATAATCTGGAGCACAGTATTACTAAACAACGCCAGAAAGAATTGTTACATTTGCATCAAAGCTTCACTACTGGCAACTGTTATTTTTTAACATGCAAGTAAATATAAATATAGTTAAATAAATTGTATACATTTAAAGATAGGAGATTATAATAATGAACATTTTATATCAAGGAAGAAATAATTTATAAACAATCATAACAACAAATTAATAAATATATAAATTAAAATAAATATTTAAATAAAATGCAATTAAATTAGATAAATTAGATAAAAGAGTGATAGCAATATAATAGTGATATTTAAAAAAAAAGTACAATAATGAATTCAAAACTAAATAAATGAAGAAAAATCTAATAAATGTGCAGTAGCAAAAAATAAAAATAAAACAGATACCAGAAAATTATCAATATCAACATTCTTCTGAAAGGTATAAATTGATCCTTTTATAATCTCTCTGTATCATTACTTTTTGCCCCCAGCCTCCCAACGACCCCCACGGCATCACCAGAGAGGAGCTGATCCTCACGCTGAGGGACGTCCTCACCGGGACGCCAAGATTTGCAGAGGTAGGACGACCAAATTTTAGTTTGTATTTTAGTGGAAGTTACGGGGGTCTTGTGGCCTAAGAAGAATATATATATATACATCCATCCATCTTCTCCCGCTTATCCGTGGTCGGGTCGCGGGGGTATAGTTCCAGCAGAGAGCCCCAAACGTTCCTTTCCCCTCATCAACCAGCTCTGACTGGGGGGTTCCCAAGGCGCTCCCAGGCCAGCGAAGAGATATAATCCCTCCACCTGGTCCTAGGTCCCCTCTGTCTCCTCCCAGCTGGACGTGCCTGGAACACCTCCCTAGGGAGGCGCCCAGGTGGCATCCTTACTAGGTGCCCGAACCACCTCAACTGGCTCCTTTGGACGCGAAGGAGGAGCGGCTCAACTCCGAGTCCCTCCCTGATGACTGAACTTCTCACCTTATCCCTAAGGGAGACGCCAGCCACCCTGCGGAGAAAACCCATCTCGACCGCTTGTATCCGCGATCTCGTTCTTTCGGTCATGAAATATAAATATATATATATTTTATTTTTTTTTGTGTGTATGTGTTCCAGCAACCTATACAGACATATTCACACTTCTGATTCCTTTTTTTCCCTTTTTTAAACAAAATGTGAAGGAAAGCAAGAGAGAAACATTTTGAGAAAAAATAAAAATACATAAATTATAACAAGAGATAATGATATAAAAAGGGTTTGTATTTTGTAAAAGTGTTTTTGTGAATATATCTTTGATTGAAAACAATTCTGAAAGATAATATTACGTCCTGTTTACACTTTTATTTTTCCAGTTTCTGTTGCCTCTCATCATTGAGAAGCTGGACTCAGATGTTCAGAGCGCGAAGCTGGACTCGCTGCAGACTCTGGTGAGAAATCGTACTTTTTAATACACAGATATTTCTCCTAAAGCAATACAGTCACTTAATGAAGCTGCTGAGAGGCACTGACATTTACGAAATACTTTAAAGGGCACCTATTATGCAAAATCCTCTTCTTCATGTCTCTTCTACATCAACATGTGTCCCCTCTTCTCCATGTCTCTTCTACATCAACATGTGTCCCCTCTTCTTCATGTCTCTTCTACATCAACATGTGTCCCCTCTTCCTCATGTCTCTTCTACATCAACATGTGCCCCCTCTTCTTCATGTCTCTTCTACATCAACATGTGTCCCCTCTTCTTCATGTCTCTTCTACATCAACATGTGTCCCCTCTTCTTCATGTCTCTTCTACATCAACATGTGTCCCCTCTTCTCCATGTCTCTTCTACATCAACATGTGTCCCCTCTTCTTCATGTCTCTTCTACATCAACATGTGTCCCCTCTTCTTCATGTCTCTTCTACATCAACATGTGTCCCCTCTTCTCCATGTCTCTTCTACATCAACATGTGTCCCCTCTTCTTCATGTCTCTTCTACATCAACATGTGTCCCCTCTTCTTCATGTCTCTTCTACATCAACATGTGTCCCCTCTTCTTCATGTCTCTTCTACATCAACATGTGTCCCCTCTTCTTCATGTCTCTTCTACATCAACATGTGTCCCCTCTTCTTCATGTCTCTTCCACATCAACATGTGTCCCCTCTTCTTCATGTCTCTTCTACATCAACATGTGTCCCCTCTTCTTCATGTCTCTTCTACATCAACTTGTGTCCCTCTTCTTCATGTCTCTTCTACATCAACATGTGGCCCCTCTTCTTCATGTCCTTCCACATCAACATGTGTCCCCTCTTCTTTCATGTCTCTTCTACATCAACATGTGTCCCTTCTTTCATGTCTCTTCTATATCAACATGTGTCCTCCTCTTCTTCATGTCTCTTCTACCATCAACATGTGTCCCCCTCTTCTTCATGTCTCTTCTACATCAACATGTGGTCCCTCTTCTTCATGTCTCTTCTGCATCAACAGTGTTCCTTCTTATGTCTCTTCTACATCAACATGTGTCCCCTCTTCTTCATGTCTCTTCTACATCAACATGTGTCCCTCTTCTTCATGTCTCTTCTACATCAACATGTGTCCCCTCTTCTTCATGTCTCTTCTTCAGTCAACATGTGTCCCCTCTTCTTCATGTCTCTTCTACATCAACATGTGTCCCCTCTTCTTCATGTCTCTTCTACATCAAACATGTGTCCCCTCTTCTTCATGTCTCTTCTACATCAACATGTGTCCCCCTCTTCTTCATGTCTCTTCTACATCAACATGTGTCCCCTCTTCTTCATGTCTCTTCTACATCAACATGTGTCCCCTCTTCTTCATGTCTCTTCTACATCAACATGTGTCCCCTCTTCTTCATGTCTCTTCTACATCAACATGTGTCCCCTCTTCTTCATGTCTCTTCTACATCAACATGTGTCCTCTCTTCTTCATGTCTCTTCTACATCAACATGTGTCCCCTCTTCTTCATGTCTCTTCTACATCAACATGTGTCCCCTTTGTGGAAAGAGACTCTGAAAGTTTCAGGAACAAAGATTCTCTCTCTTTTTGATCCATTTCTATAAAAACCTGTCTGAAAATGAGCTGATCAGATTTTGGCCACTTTATGATGTCATAACGATGTGTTGTCTTGTGTAACCATTAGCCAATCAGCAACCAAGGTAACCCCCCCCCCCCCCTTATCACCTGAATCTCCTCCTAGAGCACCATTGAGTTCTTTGTAACCAAATCTCTCTCAGAGGGGCGTGGGGATGATCTGTTTGGTGTTTCAGCCAATCAGAGACAGGCTCTGTATATATCTGAGACCTGTGATATATTGATGAAAAACAATCTAATAGGGAACCTTTTTAAGAAGACATTCTGGTTCTTATCTCCCCACTCTTGATGTTTTTCAGACTGCTTGTGTGTCTCAATACGAACACAAGGACCTGGCAGAATTCCTCGAGGGACTGTGGGCGTCACTGCGCAGAGAGGTGGGTTTTTGCATAATTATGTACAAAAACATACCCTGTTTTATTCTGCAGTGTTTAGTTATTAGATTGTGCTGCGTTTACAGTTGCAACACTTTAATGTCTAACTCTAGACATATTTGAGTCTTCTAACAACAGAAATTATCCGTTTTATTGAGAGCATCCAAAGGAAATGACCCAAAACTCAATTTATTATGAGAAGAAAGGAACATGTGGTTTCTGGTGCGCTAACTTTCAAGATATACAAAGTGAAATCCAGGCCAATGCTGACACCCACCAGTATGTTACTATGTTCTTAGCAAGAGAAGAGAACAAGTCACCGAAAAATCAATTGCAGAAAGGAATCGAAATAAACCTTTCGTCTCTTATTCAACCATACGGTTTAGACCTAAGAGTCAGAAGTACTAACTGATCTTCCCCTTCTCGTTGTTTCCCTGCAGGTGTTTCAGACATCGAGTGAGAAGATCGAGTCTGCCGGCCTCGCCACGGTCACCGCGATCACTTCCTGTCTGTCTCGCTCCGTACTCAACTCCGACTCTGAAGACTCCCTCAACACCTTCCTGGAGCTCGTTCTCAAAGGTGAACATTGTGAAATCAAGCTAATTTTAACACTAGTAAC